TGCTCGTATAATTTTACAAAGTTATGTGTTAACAGCATGCTTTAAAGTTAAGTGACGGCCGATTTCCGACCAGCCCTAATATATAAGGGATATACTGACCCTTATGTGATTGATTATGTGACTAATAATATATTAAGTTTATAGGTGATATTAATTACATATTTATGGAGTATAAAAAGGTGGTACGGCTATCTTAAAACTACATACATCTTTTGTGCAGTTGTAAATTCGTAATGCTATATTTTCCTTAAATGGTAGGTTGCCTCTAGGGTATGGCGTCGGGTCATAGTACATAGGATTATAATCTCTGAGGGTCTTAGTTTATCTTCACCATATCTACTTAAACTTTATTTTGACCGATACTATAATCTATCGAGTAATCTTCAATTTACTTGTGTGTTTCTGCTAAAAATATATTAAAATTTATTTAATTTTTAAGTTAACTAATTTTCATGAAACTTTAGTTTGACACATAAAATAATCCGTTATTTATCTTCGAATTTTCTCTAAAAATCTTGTCATGCCTTTTCATTGGTGATATATAACAGTAGGTACCTACATAGGTACCTTATTTAATTTTAGTTTAATACATACTATAAGTTCTTAAATATTTTTTTATTTTCCCAGATATCATCATCATCATTGGTGCTACAGCCCTATAAATGAGCCTCAACCTTCCCAAGTCTATTACGCCAGTTAGTTCTATCCATTGCCAACTGTTGCCAGTTTGCTGCGCCTATTTTTCTACCATCCTCATCTACATCATCCCTCCATCAGAGTTTTGGCCTATCCCTACTTCTATTTCCCACAATGTTGTGACATAAGGATTCTTCAGATTCATTCACAGATATAAATATATATTTATATCTGTGATATATCTCGTAGTTTTACCTTGTTCTCCAAACACCATTTTCACAGATGCCACCGAATATTCTTCTCAGGATCCTTCATTCAAATATAAGCAGCACGTTTTTATCTGCCTTGGAAATGGTCCATGTCTCCGATCCATATGTCAACACTGGTTGTATAAGGGTTTTGTATATGATTATTTTTGTTTTTTGGCTTAAGTTTTTACTTCTAATATGTGTGCTCAATCCAAAATAGCATTTGTTTGCTAGAATTATTCTTCGCTTGATTTCTGCCGTCATGAAGTTCTCCTTGGTGATCAGGGAGCCTAAGTATGTGAATTTGTCCTTCACTTCAAAGGTAGAGTTATTAACAGTGAATTGGTGGCCGATGTTGCTGGCTCTATTGTTGGGTGTTGATGCCATTATCTTAGTTTTTTCCTCATTTACTTGCAGGCCCATATTTTTTAGGCATTTGATAAGGTGGTATACATTTCTTCTAGTTTGCGTGTTGTGCGGCCAACTAGGTCAATATTATCTGCATATGTCAAAATTTGGGATGGTAAAATTTACAAAGATATACTATCTGATAATATATTTTGAATCTGATATTATCAGAGATAATATCAGCCTCAAGGACTCGCAAAAAAAGGGTTGTTCAAGTTTCAGCTTTTTTTTTGTTCGCTTATAAAAATTAAAGTAGGCTTTTGCAGAGTGTTTTCATATCTTACGTGGTAGCAACATCATCTTGTCGTTTTAAATGTATAAAAGGGCGGAAAGCATATTACCAAACTCGTATTAAACGTCTATTATCTTCTTCCCTTAAGTTTCTGTTCGGCTATTCTTTTAGCTGCTTCATTAAAAAAAATTGTTGTGATTAGCAGATTTCTGTGAAATATGTTATATTTTAATGTGACAAATGTTTTTCAAGCTAACACTTGTTTTTTTTTTAATATATAAAATAATATATCTAGTTATTCATATACAGATATGGGTGTAAATAAGATTTTCTGTGTGGTTAGACTATTTGAAAAACACATTGACATCAAAGACACATTCCTTATTAAATTCTTTTGAAAAAGCTCTGAAATTATTTTCTTGTTGCATGTCTAATTTAAATACTATGTAATATTTAAATTCTTTTTCTTCTAGATCATACCAGATTCACTTTTTTTTATTGATGGATACAACATATATTGCTTGAGTTATAATACTTGTTCGTTTTAAATTCAGTAATATTTTAATTACTCATTGTTATGAAATATTGCATTTCATAGGCTTGCATTGATAGCTAGTTTACTTTTTGTTACCTTGTCAATGGTTTTATGTCGTAAGTATGATTGGTATTGCATCACAGCCACTTTTTAATATATAATTATATATATAATATATATATATATATATATATATATATATATTACAGGATCCAATTTTTATCCGGGATGTAATCCTCCCGGTCCAAGGTATGCGCCTTCTCCAAACCTTTCGATTCCATCGCTCTTCTAATTCCTTCATTCCATGAGCGTCGAGGTCTACCTCTTTTTATTCTTCCAGGGGCTTTTATCTCTAAATTTTTTGGGGCCAACGTTCGTCAGGAATTCTCAATAGGTGTCCAAACCACTTTAAACCTCTTCTTTCTATTTTGTCAATGACCGTTTCTGTAGCATTCATGTTATTTCTTGTAGATTCGTTACTCTTTCTTTCCAGCCTTGATGTTTTAGCACTTCTTCTCAAATAATCCATTTTAACTGCCAACAACCTTCTCTTCAGGTCTGCATTAATTGTCCATACTTCAGAGCCATAACAAAGAACTGATTCAACAATGGTTTGCCCTATTCTTTTTTTGTTCCTTTTGGAAATGTTGCGATCCCACCATAAGGAGTTTAGACATCCTATAATTCTACGTCCCTGATTAATTCGGTATTAAATTTCGGTTTCTCTCAAGCCGTTCTTATCAATGAGTGCACCTAAATATTTAATTTTTTCACTTGATTGATTTCCACGTCCTCGTCTATCAACACTTCAAACCTTGCATCTGAATTGGTAACTAAATATTCTGTTTTCATCATGCTGCCTTGTAACCCCCATTTTACATATTCTCTGTATAGACGCTTTATCATAAATTCTAGTAGATCATAAGAATCTTGAGCTAGGACGACTTGGTCATCCGCAAAGTTCAGGAGAACAGTACGTTATTTCCTATGGGGATTTCCATTACCTAATAGTGGTTTTCCCAATTTTGGAGGGCTGCCTCAATATATAAATTAAATAGTAAGGGTAACATATTGCATCCTTGTCTTAGTCCATTAGTTACTTTTGTTGGCTCTGATAGTCTATTTCCGATTTTTAGGTAAGTAGTGTTATCCCTGTATACTTCTGTGATTATTCCTAAAAGGTATTGACTAATGCCGAGTTGTTGTAAATCTTGCCACAATTTAAGTCTTGGAACTGTATCATACACCTTTTCTAGGTCGATGACCTTATAGGCCTTCTAAATCCCCTTTGGTCTTCGCTAATTAGATGTCCTACATCATCTTGTTTTTTCCCTTTTTTATCTTTCCAAACAATCTCCCGAAAGTAGGTAGGACACTTAATCCTCTGTAGCACTTAGGATCTTTCGATTACCTTTTTTAAAGATGGACACTTGGTGAGCGGTTTTCCATTCAGATGGTACTTTAATTTGTGGGCAGCATTGATTCATTAGAAAAGTTATTCGTTCTATTAGGAGTGAACCTCCTGCTTTAAGTAACTCTACAGCTATATTGCCAGGTCCTGGAGATCGCCCGTTTTTCATTTTAATTAACGCAGTACGGACATCGTTGTTAGTAGTATTAATGTTATTATTTGTTTGTCACTCCAAACTGTATTCCTCTCCCATATATTCCAATCTGGACTCTTGGAGTTAATTTTTATAGTGATTTTCCCACTTTTCTGATTATGGGTGTTTTTCTTTAGATTAGTGATAGTTCTCCATGCTTCCTTAGTCTCAAAACCACCAATTAAATTTTCAACTTGGAGACATTTTTGTTCCCAGAAATTGTTTTTTGCTTTTTTTATTTGATTGTGTACTTCTCCGTTTGCCTTTGATATGTTGCTCTATTGGTAGATGTTTTATTTGTTAGCCATTTCTTATATATTTTGTTTTTTTCTTGTATCATTTCTTTTAAGTTTTTTGTCATCCATGGTAGTTCTTAGTGTTTTTTGTTGTTGTTCTCTGTTTCTAATACTCCATAAGCATTTTTTAAATTATCGTTTTGAGGTTGTTGTGTTCTTGTTTTACATCCATATTTTTTTCCATCTCATTTAGTTTCTTTTCTAATCTAGATTGAAAAAGATGTTTAATACTTGGTTGAAATAAAAGGTGCAATTTATATCTCTCCGTTTTGTACTGTGTAGTATTGTTTCTCTCACTTTCGGTGTTCTGTTTGTAGTATTGTTTAAAGGGACACAAAAAAATAGCTTAAAGTAAGTAGTGATCTGTCCCACAGTTAGATCCTATTTTTATTCTGCAGTCTTTGCACTTAAATTTTGATTTAAGATCTCATTATTATATAGTCTATGATCAACTTCTGTTGGAGTGTAGGTCGTTCCCAAGTGTATTTATGAATATCTTGATGTTGGGTTTGGGTATTCATTATTTTTAAACTAAAAAATTGACAGAACTCAATTAAGATGTCCCCTGAACCATTTTTAACTATTTCTATGTGCCGTCCCACCACGTCATTATATATTTAAGAGTCTACTCTGGCATAATTAATATATAATTCTAACCTATAAATAATACTGTCATCTGTAAGCATAGACATAATAAAAGATAGACTGATCCGTACAATACCAAGATAAACTGACTGCCGTAATGCAGTGGCGTTCCCCCAGTATGTCAGAAAAAACTGACGCAAAGCAGTCCCTGCATCTCTTTCTAATTTACCAGGATTATCGACCACGTGTCATAAATGACCAATGAGAAGGTCACGTGGTCGATAATCCAGTCCATTAGACAGAGATGCAGGGACTGATTTGCGTCAGTTTTCTCTGCCATGCTAGTGGAACGCCACTGTATTACAGCAGTCAGTCTGTCTCGTATTATATGTCTATGTCTGTAAGCTAACAATAAAAACTTAATTCAAATATTGTGACATATAAATTACTGTCTTATTTTTTTTATTTACCAGAGTTAAAATGAAATCTACAAATAAAAAAATTAAAAAGAAAGCATATAATGAAAGAAAAAGTAAAAAAGAGAAATTTGGCAAGCAGAAAATCTCAAAAAAAATACGAACTAAACGACGGAAAGCTAATAACAAAAGCTATCATAGTCTTCACAGAAAAGGAAGAAATACCAACCTCAGCGAAGACAAAGAATGCAAGTTTAATAGTTACAAAGAAATTGAGGAATTCTTAGTTAACCTATCTCGACTAAATTCGACTAATCTTCAAATAATAGTAATTGGAGAATCCCAAGAAGGAAAACCAATTTATTTAGTTTCAATAGCCAATACCGAAGAGATTACAGAAGCTATATTCATTGAAGCAGGATCAAATGGGGAAGATTGTGTTGCTGTACAGTGCGCCCTTTATATAATAAAATATTTGGTGGAAAGCGCAGGTACTTGCAATTATTTAAAAACTATGAGATATTATATCGTGCCTTGTTCAAATCCTGATGCTTTCGAAATAAATAAACTTGGACAAAAGCCATGCTTTAATTTATCGACCAATTTTCCATTACGACTAGGAAATCTCAACATTGATAACATTGACCTTCAGAGGTTTTTGGAGGCTGCTAGGAGCTGGAAGGAAAATTATCAGTTTAAATCTCCTGAACAGATGGCTCTGTTGAAAGCTCTAGCCACTTTTCAGTATTCCATTAAAATATTCATATCTTTGCAAGAAGAAGGTAAGTACTAACTTTCTCCTTTATTTGTTTTTTTTTTTGTATTTTCGTTTTACAATTCGCAGTGTCTAGATCTGCTTATAAAGACATATATTTTTTATGTTGTATTTAAACGCCTTAAGAGGATTGTTTGATAACGTGACGTAAGTTTCAAGGATTAACCTTTACCATTTTATAGAATTAGATTAAATAGCACTACAAATCTATCAAGAGACAAGTACTTGCATCTCAAAGACCGAAAAACTTATAGCAGAGATACTGGATTTAATACACTACTTGGGGTCTGTCCCAAACCCTTCGTTCAGTGCGTCACTAATTTTGACGTCATATAGGATTTTAAGAATGTCGAAAATTATTGCACTACATTTTAGTTAAATCTGACAGTTGCAGGATCGTTATCGGCTAAATGTGAAAAGGTTATGTTTTTTTAATGTGAAGTAAAAACTTTAACAATTCAAATTTGTATTTAATTTACATAATAAAGGTCCCGTCCTGTATAAAAATTTTTATTGCGCATTATATTGGAACGTATTGGAACGGCAGTTTGTCATAATTCCTATTCTATACATTCCAAGCTAAGTGCGTAATTAGCTAAGATTTGTTTATGGATTTATTATTATTTATTGAAAACACTATGGAATTGGAATGTTTGTTTATTTAAAATATCGCTTCCTCCTAGAATCTTTTAAGAGTTGACTGCGAGATAAAAAATTGACTGGCAATTGCAAGGCATCAAAGCAAATATTCCTGTGATAAAATAACATCGATTAAAAACATTGAAATCAGTCATATTTGGATAAGTAATTTTCCGATAAGTTTCTGTGGCAGTCAATAGTTTAATTTTGTGAAGATGTATCATTAAATAGTGGAAATAGTTTTAATAGTGAAGCAGTTGATTTTTGAGTTAATCTACCAGTTCCGGTATCCAGATGAAATAGTGTTAATGGAGTTTAGTTAAAAATCAAGATACCAAATGTAAGTTTACCTTCTTTTTTACTAAGAACAAAAAAGAATATTATATTTCAAACAATCCACAATCTTATTCAGAATCTGATTCATTAAAATCAATGATTACAGTAGATATGTGGCTAGTATCAATTATATCTAACATTTCAAGAAAATGTCGTGGTACTAAAAAGAACCGTTTTAATACATATAAATATCCATAACGGTATTAGTTTCAGATATTTTCTCAATATCATTCCTGAATTCACAATCTGATTCGCGAACGACAGAAACTGGTAATAAAGTTGTCCCAGCACCTTTTTCTAATTGAAAATTTTAATAATTTTAATATTAGTCCTTATTCATTCTCGGTATATCTTGTAATATTTAAAATGTTTTTATGACAATAAATACAAAATTTAATTTTCGCTGTAGGTAAAATGTCTGAAAATACTAACCTGGAACGACAATTATCATTTTATCAGTTGACATTGTGAAAGTACTGTCACTGTCACGATCGAGACCATCTGCGTCAAATTATGTTTATGTGCATCATTGATTGGATCTATTTAGTGTATTCTAAACTCTAACCAATTATATATCCATAAGTAGAATTTGCTTTAATATGCGAATACCCGTGAACGATACCTAATTTTCTAAGTTATATGTATAATAATCACAGACTAATGTTTTTTCTGTCACTTCTAGCTTAATGGGTTAAGAGAATTCGAACAACTATGACACACTGAAAGAATGGTTTGGGACGGACTATAGCTCATTCCCAATAGATAAAAGTTAAGTTGCTACATTTAATTGTATAAGCGCAAATAACGAACCTCGCACATCACGTTAAAAAACTGCTAGTTTTCCAGATGATTGACAGAATCCATGATCATTCAGTAGACTTGAATGCGACAACATATATAGTAGATATCTCAGGAAACAATGTGCACAGACTTTTGATTAAAGAATGGATATAAAAATAATCATCGTGGACTAAAAACATGCAAGTTTATCGCGATTTTCTAGCACGCATTTTCTGCAACTGGAAGAACTCTTGCTTTGCATCATGTGATAACCGTTCACCACCATCATTGTAACTCAAAATATCCTAAAGAATTTTTTTAGCTTTAAAGATTATAGCAAAAATTTTTATTTAAAAAATTTTCTTTATAAAAGGTACATTAATAAAAAAACTCTATCGGGCTACCTCACAGAACGTTTTCGGATTATGGCAACTGTATTTTGGGATTTTCATGACATATATAATGAATTATGGAAAATGTACAATAAATTTTATTTCCATTATGGCAATTGTTTGTCAAAACTTACACAAACTTAAAGAAAAATGACATTATTTGGTAAAGAAGCTTTTATTACCTTAACCTGCCCACGTTAACGATTGCAACTGTTAAAATTCATTGATTGTATGTAAAATAATTACGTACAGCAATAAATCAAACTCATGAAATAAATTCATAGCCATATCAAAATTGATTGATATTCAAATATTTCGATTTCTTCACGTATCTTCTTTACGTGCCATCTCCAGGAAGAACGTTGGCAATCATCATGGCTATTCTGATCTTAGATGCTGCCGCTCTGAATAGTTCGATTGATGTGCATACGTACCATTCCCTCAAGATACGTAACCATGAGATTCTTCTCCTTTCTACACTTCTATTGCTTCCTTGTATACTTAAAAGTTGCCGACTTTCGTGTTTTGATGGTTTCCAATATTTCCATTCTTTTTTTGACTCTTTCCATGACTTCGTTGTTTGTTACATGCTGGGTCCATGATATCTTCAGCATTCTTCTATACACCCACAGTTCAAATACTTTCAACTTTTTAATAGTCGACGCTTTAAGTGTCCACACTTCTATCCCGTAAAGCAGAGTCGAGAAAATATAGCACTTTGCCTGCCTGACTCTTAAGTCTAATTTCAGTTTTCTTGTACAACGTCTTCTTCTTCTTTATGTGCCGTCTTCTACCGAAGGTTGGCGACCATCATACGATAGGTTTCTCTGTTTTGTGCCGCATGAATTATGTTCGCAGCTTCTGGTATTTGAAACCATTCTCTCAAGTTTCTCAGCCAGGATTTCTTCTTTCTGCCCAAACCTCTTCTACCTTCAATCTTGCCTTCCACGATAAGCTGTAGCAGACTGTACTTATCATTACGGAACACATGGCCCAGGTATGACGCTTTCCTCCTTTTAACAGTTGTTAACAATTCCACCTCTTTACCCATTCGTCTTAATACCTCTGTGTTGGTCACTCTGTCTGTCCAAGGTATTCTCAGTATGCGTCGATACAGCCACATTTCTAGAGCCGCTAACTTCTTTATAGTTGCTGCTGTTAACGTCCACCCTTCTACGCCGTAAAGTAGCGTAGAGAGTACGTAGCATTTCGTGGCGCGCCATCGTAGGTTAATGCTTAGGTTGCGGTTGCTTAAGAGCTTTCTCATTTTGATGAATTTGGATCTTGGTATTTCAATTCGGATCTTAATCTCTACTTCTGGGTCCCACTTGTCATTTACTGTATATCCCAGATATTTAAATCGGTGTACTCTTTCAATACGTTCGTCTTCAATATGCAGGTCGATATGTTGAAATTTTTTTTTACTGATCACCATAAATTTAGTTTTCTTTCTATTGATCTTCAGTCCAAATCGGCTGCCAGTTGTATTAACTCAGCTCCAGGATATGTTTTGGCTGATATTATTGCGTTACGGAATCGTTTGTTAATTGTTATGAAGTCTATCTGATTTCTAACGATGTACCCAGACCTATCCTGTGGTGACTTCCAAGTGTACAATCTTCTTACTGGTAGCTTAAACCAAGTATTTGTGATAATTAAGTTTTTCTCCTGGCAAAACTGTATTAGTCGATCACCTCGTTCATTTCTTGATCCCAACCCATACTTGCCAACTACGTCACTGACTTCGCCTTTTCCTATTTTGGAGTTGAAATCTCCTATTACCATGGTTATGTCTTGTTTCTTTAGGTTTTTTATGATGTCGTCTAACTGTTCGTAAAACTCTTCAACTTCTTCATCCGTACTCTCCGATGTGGGAGCATAAACCTGAATTATATTTATGTCTAGAGGGTGCGCACTTAGCTGGATCAACATGCAGCGTTCTGAATATGGAATAAAATTTTTTATATGTTTTCTGATGTTATTATTTACTAGAACCGCTACTCCATGCCTATGGTTGACATCTTCTTCTCTGCTGCCTGAAAAAAATATTGTTGCATCCTCCTTCTCGCACTTACCATTACCTGGCCATCTTATTTCACTCATCCCAGAATATCAATTTTGAGCCTCTTCATTTCATTAATTGCGTTGTTTAGTTTTCCAGTCTGATAAAGAGTTCTTACGTTCCATGTAGCTATCTTAATAGTATTTTTTCTGATATGTTTATTTATTTTATCCAGTCGCATATTTCCCACGCAAGGCCTGGTACCTACCGTTGCGTGGCCGGTCTCTGATTTCACATCGTCCAGCCCGGAAACTCGACGACGCCGGTCGCTAATCGGGTCGCATGGCATATCATCTTTAAAACTCCTACTCGTCATGATGGTTTTACTAGGGATATATAAATGTGGTAGTCATCCCGTGGCTTGTACAACGTACCTTTCTCATTTTATTGAAGTTTCTTCGTGCTATCTCTTTTCGAACTTTGATTTATTTGGAGTAATCGTTTGTGTAATTAATTATTGGGCCAAGATAATTGTAGTTTTCAACTTGTTCTGACGTTTTACCGTTAATTGTCAGGCTTTCATCATTATTTTGGGTTTTGGATATCCTCATAAATTAAGTTTTCTTGAAGTTTATTAATAATCCATATTCTTCTCCATACTTAACTATTTTATTCATTAGCTTTTGGAGGTCTTGGCGGTAGTCTGCTATTATAAGAGTCCGCATATCTAATATTGTTAATTGGTTTTTCATTGACCTTTATTGCTGATGTTTCTTTCTCAAGAGATCTTTTCATAATTTCTTTAGACTATGCATTGAATAGTAGTGGTGTCAATACACACTACTGTCGCACTTCTCT